ACTGACTAGAAAGTATATAACCTATCTTTATGTGTTATGGAAAATAAAGAGAAATAAAGTGAAATAGTATAAGATAATAAAGAAAATCAACTAAGAGAGAGAAGAAATAGAAGAGAAAAAACTTTCTGCGAACATAGTACTGTTATGAACTGTACTATAAATGTAGCGCGGCACTTGACTGTATTTATCAATTTTATATCAGTAATTGTATCAGTAATTTTACTTATTCAGTAACATAAACATGACATCAACAGTAGCTTTGCCTTCATCTACTTCTATTACTACGAATCCACATGAAAGTCAAGAAAAATTGTTTTATAATGAATTAGGCAAGTATATTGATTCCTTGAGCGAAAATTTTAAAAAAAAGTGCATAATAAAAAAAGAAATTTACGATAATATTACTAAAGCATTAACGCTAGAAAGGGGTAAGCCATCAGTTTCATTATCTTCACAGTTCGTTTATTGGGCACGTCAGAATTTTGTTTTGTCGAAATTTGCGGGTAACGATATTGTATACTGTGCTAAAGCTAAGAAGCCTGTTTGTAGTTTTGAATCGTTTTACAATGTAATCGGTGAATGTCATAATAATATATCACACGGTGGTCGACATAAAACAGTTTATGAAATAAATTCTCACTATTCTTAGTTACCTCGTTTTGCTGTTGACATTTTCTTGAAACAATGTTTACCATGTCAATTACGTAAACCAATTAAACATCATGTTGTATCAAAACAAATTATTTCTTTGGGTGTAATGACACGTTTACAAATTGATTTGGTAGATATGCGCACCCGACCAGACAAAGTTTCAGAAAATGTTGTTTATAATTGGATTCTTAATTGCATAGATCATTATTCCAAATTTTGTTGGGCATTTCCATTAAAAAATAAAACGGCGGTTGATGTGTCAGTTAAATTAAGAGAATTGTTTTTTACATTTGATCCACCTCGTTTGTTGCATAGTGATAATGGTCGAGAATTCGTTACGATCACATTTCAATCCATTTAAATAAAAATGAGGAGGTTTCCATTCGAAAAACGATAAGAATTCAGGTGGAAAACGATGGAAAATCAGTTAGAGCAAAGAAGATCAGGTTTCCAGGTGGACAACGATCAGAATCCAACATGCGTCAACAGATAGACTCATTGAGAACATGTTTTAGAATTTCGAAGCTTGTATTAGTAGAGTAAAACTGTAATTACAGCGACAGATGAGGGAAGGACAACAGAAATTATTAGACCATCCCATACAAAGAATTACTCAACGCTCATTTAGATAAATTAGACGATCTTAAAACAAGAGAGATATTTTCAAATAGACGCGAGAACATTGTATGTGTTGTATGTGTCATCTTTCAAAAAAAATAGTAATTTCAGTCTAATACATTTACAGGGCGGGAAACGAGAAATTCGCCGTCATACACTTTCGCATTGCCGAAAGTTGTGTGAATGAGGGTGTGGAGTGTGAGTCGTCAGCAATTTTTCAAGTAAGTACAACTTCCAAGTCCACCGCGAAAGTGTACGATGCAGAAACTCATGGTATCCGACAGGACCTCCTCGTTCGACTTTAAATCTTCTAGTTTTATCATAATCGACGAGTTTTAGAAACAACTCTAACAAAGCAATCCTGAGTCAGCTTGTCTGTTTATACTATTACTGACTTTTTTCCACGTTCAAACAGCTGGTCAACTTTATTAAACGGTTTAGTTTATATACAAAATAACTACGTTAAAAAGGTTTAATACACTCTGAAAAAGAGGACTTCTTCGGAAAACTGAAAGTGTGTTTTTCATTTGTCCCAAATAGCGATCTGATGTGAGTTTCCTGGAAAGCTGTAAAACTGATTTTTTCATTTTCCGGAAAAACAGAAATTGAGTTTTTCGTTTTTTTAGATCCCTATGTAGGACATTTGTTTTTCTGAAAACATCAGGTCTAAAAACACATTTCTATTCTCTGACTTTTTCAAAAATCTGGATCTTAATTCCTCTTTTCATCAGCTAACTTCTTTTAATCAATACGATATCTCCGATCAAATGTAGAATTACTCTTTTATTGAGTATAAATATTGTCAACTGGAAACCTGCACAAGTAGAGAAAACTATGTAATCCACATCCTTACTCGATCGTCATTTGGAACCTCATTCGACTCGGGTCACATCAGATTTCAAACATCGTAGGTACTCGACTGGCTGGGTTCGAGTCGAATTTTAGAACTCTATTGTCAAGAACAAACATGTTCACGAGGTGTGCACGTTGTTGTATGCAAATAGAACTTTTTAAGAATGAGTTTAAGCTGCTGTAGGAAACGATCATGTCCTTTATATATTTTAGAAATCGCAAAACAAAAGCAGTGATTGAAATACGTGATTTTCTTTTCCTTTTTCAACTTCGAGATCTTCAGGGAACTAAAAAAGAAATATTGTGTTGTCCAATCTTGAAAAACAAAATTTCTGAAAAACTAAAATGAACCGAAAAACTGAAATGAGTGAAAAACTCATTTTTTATTGAAAAATAGAAATTAAAGGCGGGGGGGGGGGGGGGGGGGGGGGGGGGGGGGGGGGGGGGGGGGGGGGGGGCGCGCGGGGGGGGGGGGGGGGCGGGGGCGGGGG